TATAGCTCATAGCAGTGTACTCCGCTCTTCTTGTAGCGAGACAGACGAACGGCCGTTGGCCAGATAACATTAGTGTGTTGTAACAGATTCTTATTATCACTTAATAAGATATGGCCCACTATTGCAGATATACCTTAGCCCATCTTATTTGCTATCACTCTAAATTCATACTCACTCTTCCACTCGAAATCCATAGGTTACGTGTTGGACCTACGGTTGAAGGAATAAACCTCAACAGCATCATTAACGATAACGTACACATACATTTTCCGTTTATCTTGAATATAGAATTTTTCTGCAAACAAAAGAAACATTTTTATAGAGATAAAGGGATAAATATGATTAAATAATGGATATGTTAGTACATAAACATAAGTCCATCTAGGGCCTTTGTTCACAGCCTTCCAATTACTTGGTTTTGAAGCACCTCTAGTGTTGTTCATAATCTGGAAGGAAAAATAGAGCAAACAAGTATGATAAATCATTCTGAAGATCGAGGAAAAGGGCACCAAAATCACTTTACATTTCTTCACCTTAGGTTTTGCTCCGATGAAGTTAAAATTTGATCTTTGTGTAGTTTTTGTCTTAAAGCACTTGCTTTGTCTAGTAGCTATATCCTGTAACATTCTCTCTTGTTGAATCGGACCAGGATAACAATCCCATAGCCCCCGAGGACCAGGATAAAACCACTTTCACATGTTCATTCGGTACCTTTGCTTATCGGAGGATGTCGTTTGGATTATGTAATGCCCCTGCTACCTTTATGAGATGCATGCTTGCTATTTTTGGGGATTTTATTGGGAAGTTTATGGAGGTTTTTATGGATGACTTTTCTGTGTATGGTGATACTTTTGATGAGTGCTTAAAGAATTTGAAAAAAGTCCTGGTTAGGTGTCGAGAGGTGAATTTAGTACTTAACTGGGAGAAGTGTCACTTCATGGTTAGTGAGGGAGTGGTCCTAGGGCATAAGATTTCGAGTAGGGGGATTGAGGTTGATCCGGCTAAGGTTGATGTGATTTCTAAATTGCCTCCCCCCACCTCGGTCCGTGCCATTAGGAGTTTTCTAGGCCACACAGGGTTTTACCGTAGGTTCATCCAGGACTTTTCTAAGATAGCCCGACCCATGACTAAGCTCCTTGAGAAGGACACACCGTTTGACTTCTCAAAGGAGTGTTTAGAGGCTTTTGAGTGTTTGAAGGAGAAACTGGTCAAGACACCGATGGTAGTAGCTCCTGACTGGTCTTTGCCTTTTGAGATTATGTGTGATGCTAGTGATTTTGCAGTAGGATCCATTCTTGGGCAGCGTCGAGAGAAATATTTTCAACCTATTTCTTATGCTTCTAAGACTCTTGATAGTGCCCAAGAAAATTACACTACCACTGAGAAAGAATTGCTTGTTGTTGTGTTTGCTCTTGACAAGTTTTGTCCTTATTTGATTTTGTCTAATGTAGTGATATTCACCGATCATTCTGCTCTTAAATATTTGATGCAAAACGTGGATGTTAAGCCTAGATTGATTCTGTGGATATTACTACTCCAGGAGTTTGATATTGAGATAAGGGATAAGAAAGGGGCTGAGAATTTAGCAGCTGATCACTTGAGTAGGTTAGAAAACCCCTTTCTTGATTCCCTGAGTGAGAGAGATATTGAGGGTACTTTTCCTGATGAGAGACTTTTGAGGATCGTTGATGAGGTACCTTGGTTTTCTGACATCGCCAACTATCTTGTTGGGGGTGTTGTTCCTTCTGATTATACACCTCATCAATGAAGGAAATTTTTTGCTGATCTGAAGTATTATTTCTGGGAGGAACCATATCTGTTTCGTATTTGTGCTGATCAGGTTGTTAGAAGATGTGTTCCCCTTAGTGAAGGAGTGGAAATTCTTAAACATTGTCACTTCGGACCGACTGGGGGACACTATTCTTTTAACCGGACAGCACGAAAGGTGTTGGAATGTGGTTTCTTCTGGCCCACTCTGTTTAAAGATGATCTAACTTTTGTGCAAGAATGTGACAGGTGTCAACGCACCGGGGCGGTTACCAAGAGGGATGAGATGCCCCAGAATTTTATATTGGCTTGTGAGGTATTTGATGTTTGGGGCATTGACTTCATGGGACCGTTCCCGGGTTCTAAAGGTAATAAATTCATTCTGGTTGTCACGCCCCGGACCTGCCCGGACACGTCAACAACCCGCCGTACAATACGAATAGTCAACCACAGTCAAGCACATCCATATTATACAAGGCGTCTCGAATATCGTTCACACATAAGCCATCCATAAACAACATAATAAGCAATCGAATACGTAGCGGAAAACATAGTTTGAAAACAAATGCCACACGTGGCAAACATGAGCACGGAGGCTCTATAGTAAAATATTCATGAGCATGTTTATTAATGTTTAAAAACAGAATGGAGGAAGCACGAACCAAGTCTTCCCTCCTAAATGATCTCTCGAGCAACGAGCACAGGAAGCAAGCTCTAGCCTCAACCTGAAAAATGGTGGTGGGACGCCCCCGAAGGGGTCAGCACTCTATAGGGCTATAAAGTGCTGGTGTGGATGACATCTAATAGATATACAACAAGTATTTCAAACACAAGACCCTCAAATAGGGTGATAATATAATCTAGGCCATAACCCCAAGTTACCCCTTTTTAAAATATACTTACTTTATACATAAAGTCAAGTAGTCGGCCCGCAGGCCCAAGGTTTATTTACCAAACATAGCCCAAACCCCGTGACCCCTAGTCACAACAATACATAGGGTTCAACCATAACACATATGTTTGCATTCTCGAGTCCAACTCGACTACATCACCATGCACCTTATCTAACACAAGTTAGCTACCCCACCGTGCATTTCTTGAGTCCAACTCAACTACATCACCATGCACGACAATCACCCCATCATGTCTACCCAATGCAATTCTATGAGCATGGGCTCAAGTACATCTCCTTACATTGGCATAGACCCCAATTCCTAAGCACTCGCTATGCCTAGAATTGTAATATCAATAATCTATTTTGGGACATCCTTAGGGACTGCCCAACCATGGTCCTTAGCATCACATTACATCAATTTAGTCACTTACATCACAATCAAGTACATCAATTACAATCAAATCCTTAGATTCAATTCCTTAACAATTACAACAATCATTAACTAATATTTCAATACGATTAAGATTATTCTTATCCATCATATGTTCCATTTGTAAAAAATCCTACATATTTAGAGATATGTAGCAGCAACTTAATCATCCAATGTAATACATAAATAATCATTTATGTATCTACACAATTCACACATGAGTAAAATGCCTATTTCACACAATAGTTCACTTAACTCCATTTTTATCAATACTTTACCAAATCACTTTCCGTTTCATTCTTTGGAAAATAGATCAATATTCCATCAATAATTTATCATCATAATCCATGGAAAATATGATTTAGGCATTTAGGTAATCTTATGCTTAACCTACAAGTTGTAAGCAACTAGATGTCGATCCTCACCTCAAACGAGCTTTAAAATTTTCCTTCTCGATCCAATGACCAAAGCCTCGGCCAAGGAAGCTTGAGAACTGATTCCTTGCTTAGAAATGAGTGTCAAACAGCCTCCTCAAAGTGCTAGTTCAACCCTTAATCGTTGGTACGAAAACAGCCCCTAGAATGGGTGTTTTCCGGCTAACTCGTTTCCTAGTTTTCCAAGATTTGCTCTAGGTTAGTATCTAACCTTTACATAAATAATAATAACTTTTTAAGGACATATTATACACTTGGAGTAGTGTATAATAGTTCCACCAATCGTGCATATCATTTGGCAAATGAAAGGAAAGGTTTTGGGGTTAACAACTCACTTTAGAAGAGTAGATCCGTTTCTGCGAGGTTGTGTTTTGCTCGGACGATTCGGAAGCTTTCCACTACTCCGATTGATGCAAAACAGACCTTCAAGGATTCATAGTCTTGAGATCGTTCTTTTGGTATCTTACACGACTTAATTGGATTGGTATAACTCGAGATATCAACCAAACAGCCTCAGCACTCTCACTGCTCGAGTTTACAGACAGCAGTTCACTCCAGCTCGATTTTTGTGTGATAAACTCTCCCCTCTCGCACAGAGACCACTCAAATATGAAACTGGACTTCAAAGGCTATCCAAGGACACCTCATTCACGTTGTTTGGTCGAGTATAACTCCCATAATGAGTGGAGACAAACAGCACACCAATTTGTGCAAAAACTGCTCATGGTGGCCCTAAGTTGATGCTAATCATGTCTTGTGCAGCTCCCCTCCAAGCTGGCCGTCCAAGATAAGTCCTCTCACCCATTTTTATTTGTCTTTCAGGTACTAATATCATGTGGAGTGGTTCCCATTTGATCCCAATCATTTTGGGGTCCAAAATATCTATCAATACTTCCAAAAATGGGAAGATGGGTCCTATTGTTTTATCCTTTGTCAAAGATGTCTTTTTGTACTCATCCTAATTTATTTAGAACAAGTAAACTCCCTACATAACATTATTGATCTCCAATATGTGTAGGCTCATCTCAATAATTTACTTGATGGATATCATAGAAGGAAAAATCTCACTTCCATTATTTAGTTCAATAATGTCAAGATGGGGCTATAGGTATTTGTATTCTTCTCCAATCATTACTATCACTTATTTTGACATTTGTCATACATATTATTGGGCTACTAGCCGTGTGGGTCACTCCCGAGTGGGTCTAGGATGCCATTCTCGAATACTTGCTATTTTAGCAGGTTGGGCCCAAAATAATATTTGGGTCGCCCGACCTTCCTCAAATTGTCTTGAAAGGTTAAGTAACAATATTTAAGTGAGGCCCAAATAAGTATTTGCAAAACCCGACACTAATATACGAGTTTGAACAGTATAATAATCGATCATTAATTACGTAAAACAACATTCATTTTACAATTGTTTGGGAATCGGAAATTCAATACATAAACTTTGAATGTTTAAATTGAATTTTCAAGGATGTTCGGGTGCGGTGTCACACTGGTTGCTGTGGATTATGTCTCTAAGATGGAGGAGAGCTCCAGTTTTCTCCATGGATGAGCTTGTGGATTTGACTAGAATGGGCTTTGGAGACCGGTTCCAGAGGATGGAGGAGAGCTCCAGTTTTCTTGCTTTGACCCGGCTTCCCGAGGTCAACACTGGAGTGGCGAGGAGGAGGGCACAGGTGCAGCCGGCGGCAGCAGCAGCGGGAGGACACCAGGCAGATGATGATGATGACCACGATGAGGATGAAAGCAATGAGGAGATGGAGGCAGCTGCACACGACGTTCCTTCTGATGCACCCCTCTACGACAACACTTTTCCCCATACTTGGGCGGGGATGCATGCGCATCAGGACGCCGTCTATCATCAGTTGTCTACTGAGAAGCACGAGCGTTTTGTCCAGATGCGTTTTGAGCAACAGGACTTTTATCGTGAGATGCGGGAGGACCAGGCGATGCACTATGCACAGATCTAGTCCCAGTACACACAGATTGATGAGCGACTCACTTTTATGGAGTCTAGCTGGAGCTCATTCTTTGACGCATATCCGCCGCCACCCCCCTCCTGAGTATTAGAGATTTGATTAGATTGTCCTCTGCTAGCCTTTGTACTTGCTTTTGTTTGATGATTGTACCATAAACACTCTCACACTCTCACACTCTCACTTTTACACTTAACTCTTTATTTTGTTGTGCTTTGTTGTTTAATGATGTGTTGCAGCTCAAACGAATGCTTAGTGGAAGATGTGTCGCGCGATCAAAGACCCAGTTTAGTTCCAGACCGACCAACGCTATAGGGAAGCTTCAATAACTCTTTTTACTCGCTGTGTAATGCTGACTTGAGTTAATTTTGAGCACGCGTGACCCTTTCTTCTTTACCCCCTTGTGCATAGTGCATATTTGGTCATCGAGGGTGATGCCAAAGTTCAAGTGTGGGGGAGTGAATTGGGCATTTGGGCAGTAGTTGTTACATGTGATTTTTAGAGTTAGCATGCGCAGGCGTTAGTTGTATATTCATTGGAAATTCATGTCAAAATTTTTGAAAATTTTTATTTAAACCGTGTCTTTGTGAACTGGCTAGCGTTTGACTATGCTTTTAGAATGTCCTTGAAGTGTTTAGGCTTAAATTGCTTGCATGATAACTTAGTTGTTGAAAGGATGAAGGCAGTAGTCACCCATTGAATAAATCAACAATTTCCCCATTTGACCTGAATAAGTTCCTTTAGGAGAAGCCACTTTGACCCTGACCGTTCTTTGTTACCCAATTAATTGAGCTCCATAGCCAAATGGCCTGTTGCCTTACCCGTGAATATTTCTAACCCAGTCTTGATGTTTAGGGAACTAAGGGATTAATTTGCTAAGTTTAGGGAATTTTTGTAGGAGCCATTTTTGGCACTGTTCCTATGCCCCAAATAGGGTAAGAGCAGTCACTATTTGGGAATTTGATACTTTCGAGGATTGCATTGTAGGCATGGATTCACGTTTAAATTAATGAACTTTAATTGTTATTTTTCCTTGGTGAGGTCGAGATTAGAATGGGGTAATGTCTAGTGAGAATCTGAAAGGTGGAAAAATTAATATAGCTAGACCTCTTACTTTGCGAAAAAGAGAATGGGAGCCCCGGTCAAAAAGCGTAAGATGAGACTTGGGTATCTTTCGAAAGAAATGGCGTTTTCGTGCCAACATGACAAGGAAAACTAAACATAATTAATGAACTTGGAGGCTATCTCGATATTTAGCTTTAGTCATCCGCGTACTTCAAGTATACGTCAAAGCACAAATGTGTCGCGGCGGTTTAGCTTAGTTGTACACCATGTCTACTCTTTGCATAAGTTTAAATGATTGTTCCTAAATTGTGGCCTACTGAGTTCCTTGTTCCTAAGAATAGCCCTGAAGTTCCTGAATACATCGAGTCTTTGTTAGAATATTCCAATCTCTCAAAAGAAAGAGACTATTATTTTTATCCATGATCCATTCACCATCACCTTCACAAGTCCTTCTGATCGGTAACTAGTTTATTTGTGTATGCTGTCATTACTTTGAGGATGTTGTGAATTATTGTGTCAAACAGTTTAGCTTGAGTACAAAGATGTAGTTTAGGGAAAAATTTTCTTGGTTTAGATTGTCTGTCCTGTGAATATCCCTTTAACGACGTGTGCATGTTAACTGTTTTAAATTCCGTGTGGTGATTATCTTAAGTCCTGTTGTTCGATTTGCTTGAGGACAAGCAAAAGCTTAAGTGTTGGGGAATCTGATAAGTCCGTAATTAGACACGCATTTGATGCGTGTTGGAGTCGGATTTTGATGGTTTTCCTGCTTTAAGGCGTTGCAAGTCTCAATTTTAGCTCAAGTTGTGATTATCAGGCGTTGGATCGAGTTTCGTTGCAATTGGAGTTGAACTGAAGAAGTTAGAGTCCGACAATCGGCGCTTGAGAGGCATTTGGGAAGGATTTGAAGGCGTTCGAAGAAGATTTGAGAGATTTGGAGGTCACCAGGAGATTCACGTAGGGCTGAGCAAAACCCGAACCGACCCGAAAAACCCGATATTTTTTTCGGATATTATCCGACCCGAAAAACCCGAAACCGAAAATCCGATTAGTATTGGGCCTAGACCGGGTGGCGGGTAGGATTTGTGAAATCCCAACCCGACCCGACCGAATATCCGAAATATATGTTAGTGTGTACTTTGAATATTTAATTTAATACTTGTGTTCAATTATTTGTGTGATTATTTGTGCAATTTGTATTAAACTATTTGTGTAAATTGAATGTGTAGTGAACTAGTGTGTACAATTTTGGTTAAAGTGGCATTCCAACACTTTAACTATCCAATTATAATGTGTTTTGATATAACCAAAATATCCAAAATATATTAAATTATGTAGTGTGTACTTTGAATATGTTAAATTAATACTTGTGTTCAATTATTTGTGTAATTATTTGTGGAATTTGTGTTAAATTATTTGTGTAATTTGGAAGTTTAGTGCACTAGTGTGTACAATTTTTGTCAATGTAGCATTTAAAAACTTTAATTATCCAATTATAATTTTTTTTAATATAACCGAAATATCCGAAACCCGACCCGATATCCGATAATATCCGACTTAAAAATATCCGAAATACCCGATTTGAAATATCAAAGGGTCGGGCCTAGTATTTAAATTAAAAAACCCGAACGGGTTTAGGGTTCGCAAACCCGACCCGCCCGAACCCGACCCGTGCACACCCCTAGATTCACGACAAAATTCTGATGAAGAAAGAGCATTTGGATCGACCTCATAGGCATCCGAGATCTTTTGGAGCAAGAAACGAAGAAAAACGATGAAGAAAAGCCCATGCACGACCGTGCATGGGCCAGGCAGGACCGTGCATGGGCCAGGCAGGACCGTGCCTGGAAGAGGATGGCACGCGGAGCTACTGCCAGCCAGGCACGATCGTGTCCTGGCCAGGCACGATCGTGCCTGCAACCGAGACGCGCGCATGCTCCGCAGGCACGATCCCAGGCACGATCGTGACTGGCGTCGTGCCTAGCCCCGTTTTGTCCTATTTCAGCTCAAATTCTCCTATTTTCTATAAATAAGGCCTCTATACCCCTTTTGAGGGTTTACAAACTTTGTGGAGAGGCCTAGGACGAGTTTTACCTGCGTTTTTACGTTGTTTACTTCGAGAACCTGGGATTCTTTGTAAGTTCAATTCTTTTAATTAATGACAATTTATTCTATTCATCCCAATTTTGTTGATTCGTCAATTATGAGGCGTGAGTAGTTTAATTAGGGATTTGGGGTTGATGAAGGGGTTAATCATGATTGAAGGTTAGATTCTTTCCGGTTTAATTGCATGAATGTCGTTTAATTTGTGTTTGAATAATTTAATTGATATCTTTTGTAATCTAGAATCGCGACTAGAATTACAATTGGATGTACAATGAATTAAGAGAGATCTAATTTATTCTAGGACACATTCACACACACTTAATCGTTCGCTAAGAGATTAGTAGCGATTAAGGGGCCGTAAGCTCGCTCGTCTTGGCAATAATTTAGGATCCTGTTGCATGAGAGATCAGCCTGGTCCCCTAAATTATAGTACTCTACGCCGCGAGAGCGGTAAGAACTTAGTAATGATTAGCTAGGCTCAATTAAATTAAATTCATGTAATTAGGCTTGTTCTGCCAGAAATCTGGTTAACCCTGGAATCAATTCATGTTCCCTTCGTCGTTAATTAAGGAAAAACCCAATCTTTTTATTTGCTCATTAGCGTTAGTTTTATTTTATTCAATCAACCAATCTCGCACAATTACATTTTATTTTATTTATTTCTTTTTAATCGCTGAATTTAGTTAATCTTTAATTCCCTTTTGTCCGTTCCTGTGGAGACGATACTCGTACTTTCAACCACTTTTTTACAACCATTTTAAGTGCGAGAAAACACACATCACGGTGTGAACTAGTTCCAGCTTCTACGGTTTAATAGCTCATCTTCCCTTTGAGAAACTGACACGTTTCTGTTTCCGAATATGCAATCCTCGCATAAGACAACCTCAACAGTCTTCAGGCTGGGCAGTTTGCCCTTCGAGCACAACTCCTTCATCCCCTTTTCGCTCATGTGACCGAGCCGACAGTGCCACACATTCACATCGTGTGTTGCAGCGGCAGCAACATCGATGCAATCCTTCGAGTTGGTTGTCATGTACAACATACCCTCCTTCTCCCCTTTAGCAACCAGCAAGGCTCCCTTGGTGATCTTCCAATTTCTGCTGCCGAATGTAACTGCATAACCTTCCTCATCCAGCTGCCCAATTGAAAGAAGATTCATCCTCAAACAAGGAATGTGTCGGACGCCATTCAGTTTCAGCATGCATCCGTTCGGAGTCTTCACGTGGACTGTCCCCTTCCTAACAATTTTAAGAGGAGTATATTGCCAAAATTTTAAGATACACCTCTCCAAAATTGCCAGGAGTATATTGTTCCATCACTTCTCGATTACCACATGAATGGAACGAGGCTCCAGAATCCAGAACCCATGACTCCAACGGACTGCTCACGCTCAGGATCAGGAGATCATTGCCAGATGATTCTGCCGCTGCGTTGGCAGATGTCTTCTCCTTCTGATCCTTGATCTGCTCCTTACACCGGCTCTTGAAGTGTCTATACTCCTCACAATTCCAGCACTTGATCTGACTTCTGTCCTTCTTGCCCTTGCTGTTTGATTTGGATCTGGATCTTGATCTATCCCGATTTGACTTGGATTTCGACTTCGTTCTGCCCCGGTTCTCTGTACTTAACGCCGATCCAGAAGCCAAGCCTGATTCCTTCCTGCGAATTTCTTCGCAGACCACCAGATTTCTGACTTCATCGAATTTCAGTTTCTCCTTCCCCGCAGAAGCGCTGACTGCAGTCACCGCTCTGTTCCAACTTTCCGGGAGAGAAGACAGCAGAATTAGGGCATGAATTTCGTCGTCGAATTTTATCTCAACCGCGCTCAATTGTGTGGTGATTACATTGAACTCGTTGAGATGATCCCCCCACCCATGTACCTTCTGACATCTTTAGATTAAAAAGACGCCTCATCAGATGAACTTTGTTCACGGCATATGGTTTTTCGTACATATCCGACAAAATCTGCAACATCTCCTTTGTCGTTTTTACTTTGATGGTATGTAGGACGTTGTTTCTGGAAAGCGATAATCAAACCACGCTCATCGCTTTTCTGTCCAGCAACTTCCAGTCGCTCTCCATCATGTCTTCCGGCTTATCATCCAGAGGTTGATACAGATCTTTACCGTACAAGTAATCTTCGATCTGCAACTTCCAAAATCCGTAATCCGTTCCGTCAAACTGCATCATCGGTGTCTTCAAATTGTCTGCCATCATGAGATCTCCCTTCGAACCTAGGGCTCTGATACCAATTGTTAGGAATTAAACTCACGCACACGAAGAACAATAACGAAGAACACGCGAAATTTGGTAACCCAGTTCGCTACGAATGACTACGTCTGGGGGCGCTACTAAGACATGCATATTATTGCTATCTTCGGATCCACACAAAACGATTACAATGGAGAGAGCTTGTATTTATAGAGAAGTAAATCCTAACCTCAAGGCAACTAGGATGTGTTTCCTAAAATAATTTAAGAAACGTGTTTCCAAAAATAAATTAAGAAGCTGTCTCTAACACCTTACATATACATATAGGGAAGAGATCAAATAAAAAAGAGGTTCTCCCGTGCAAAGTGCGAACAATTGCACTTTTACCTCATTGCGTTGCACTTTTGTGTGTCTCTGTTGCACTTTTTCGCGTTGGAAAAAATTCGTTTTAATTACGAAATTGCCACCGCATTTTTGATCAAATTTAGTTCATATTTGGGTCATTTTGAGCCATTAGATCTGAAAATGAATGCACAAGATTAATTCTCACTTTGCATGGGAAGACCTCTTTGTATTTGAACCATCACATATATATGTGTGTGTGTGTGTGTGTATGTATGTATATATATATATATATGTATATATATATATACATACATATATATATGTATATATATATAGGGGTTAGTTCCCGTGAGAACACCCTCTTAGGAGAGGAAAAAAGAATGAAATCTAGCCTTTTATTCATTCAATCGGATGGCTATAGAAAATGCTCGTATGACTTAATAATCAAGTGTATTAGGAAATCATTAAAAGTGAAGACGTATTGTTCAATCAACATTTATTGCGGAGGTCTTTTTTGTAAATTGATAATGCTTTGATTATCCATTAGCATCGAGCCTAAACCAACATCCCTATAATTCCGCCACGGCCAAAATTGAAAGGTGCAATCATGATATTGCATTATTCAATAAATTGTAAAGTGTAAATCATTATTTATATTTAGAAGCATTCCTCTATTATATTAGATACGTGTATGCAATTTTTGAGAAACATATAACATCAAGTGCATTAAATAATGTGTTCAGTGGAGCAATTTTAATAAAATTTATATATTCACGTATGTATTTACAATTATGTATGTTACAAAATGATTGTTATTTGTACTTATCACTTTTTATAAAGTGCAATGTTAATGTGTCAAGAGTGCATGTGTGTCAAAAAGAAAGTGGGCCAGATTCTAGTGCATGAAATAATGTTTTTAGTGCAATTTGTAGGATTTTAGCTGCATGAATGAAGTTATTGTAATGTGCAATATAAAGATAATTAGAAATGCAAATGATATTGAAATGCTAATTATGCATTGTTGATAAAACTTTATGCACCCGAGTAAATTCAAAATGCACTTTATAGAGTTATTTAAGTATATGTCGTTCCAACCAATCCCTTTTTCACATTTGACCTCTTTGAAATTCATGGCCTTTAGTAAATAAAAAATAAATAATATCTGAGGTATGCATATAATTTAAGTTAAAATGGTACGGTGCACCGTGGAGTTATTTACAATAGAGTGAAGAAACGATTGATAAGTGCACTGTATATATGTGTGCACTTTTAATAAGTAAAAGTGCAATTTAAAAATTGAAGATATAATGCATCCCTAACTAATTCAAAGTGCAACATGTTTGGTATAGTTTTTCATGACTTTGAGTGCTTTAGTTTTTATAAAGTGTAACGAACCCAATATTATAGTGCACTAGTATGTATGGCATTTATTAAACATGAAATTTTTTATTTTAAAAATCATAAGAAAAACAAAGTTAGAATATACTAAATGTTCGTTGAGTACTTGAGTTGGTGCCAAGAGAGGATACACTTAAAACCATATGTACACCTGGGATTAAAGTCATAAACGTAAAAGAAAATGTAGAAAAGAAAAACACAAAGGATGTTAATGAAGTAACCTCCCTAAAAAGCATTAATGCGGAATAGAGAGAATATAAGGCAGGAGAGTTATAACCGTAA